TACTGAGGAGCCATGGCCTAAGCTCAGTATGAAAGAAACTCGCAGCCTAGTGAGGCTTCAAAAGTTGGGCCCAAACAATACGGGCCCTAGAGCAATCCCTTAAGATATGCAAGATAGATTCATTCAATACCCCACAGTGACAGTACATACAAGAGGCATCATAGGTAAGATGTCGTCTAACCTATTGCTCATTAGAAAGGATTTTCCCTTGATAAACCAGGCAATAGAAAATTTTCAACTTAGGTGGAATTTTCATCTTCCATAGAGTCTTCCACCAAGGGTCAGACCACTCAGACCCGTTAAACAATAATTGATAAGCCGACTTGGTTGAGAAAATACCATTGGAACTAGGAAACCAGATCTGCGAATCCCTCAAATACCCACCGAAATCAGCAGGACAACAAATAATTCTTTGGATAAGCTCATTAGGGAAGACACTCTTAAGCTTGGCCACATCCCACTACCCATCCCTATGGAATTCAGAAACAGTACTCTCAAGATCAGCCCCAGTCACAGGAACCTCCTGAATCAAAGGAGGTAAGCTATCAATCCATTTATCCTTCCAAAAAAGAACCTGATCCCCATCACCAACTCTCCATTTCAAGCCTTTAGTCATTGGAACTAAAAACAACCCCACGCCAAGTTGAAGAACAACCTTGCCTTGGAATCATATCAGCTTCAAGGATTGACCTCCCTTTAAGGTACTTGCTTTCGAATACCTTAGCCCGGAGATCATCATCTCTTTGGAAGAGCCTCCACCCAATTTAAGCTAGAAGAGCTTGATTCAAATGTAGAGTTTTCTTAAAACCCAAACCACCTAAGCTTTTAGGTATGCATACAATATCCCATTGACAAAGGTGAATTTTCTGTTTTCTCTCATTACCCCCCATAAAAAATTTATGTTAATTTGGTCAAGTTTCTCACAGATACTAATAGGCAGTTTAACAGTTTGCATAGCATAGACAGGAAGGGAAGAGGTCACAGATTGGATCAAGGTAGCTCTGCCAGCCAAAGAGAGCATCTTACTCTTCCAAGAGGCAAGTCTAGCATGAACTTGATCAAGCAAATCCCCATAAGTAGCAATGGTTACCTTGGAATGAACAAGAGGCATTCCTAAATATTTGCCCGAGTTAGTCATGAGCGGAGATCCACAAATGAGACTAATCTCCATAGCTACCGCCCTAGAAGTATTGGGAGAGCACAAAACAACGGATTTATCAAAATTGACAGTTTGGCCAGAAGCTTGACAAAACACCTCTAAACAATGCTTCATGATCCTAGCTTGTTTTGGAGTAGCTTCCCCAAAGAGGATAAAATCATCTGCAAAAAATAGATGTGAAACAGAAGTCCCCGATTGAGAGGATTTAACAGATTTCCACTGCTTGCTCCTGACAGCATCAAAGATAATGGGTGATAGTTTTTCAATGCAAAGAACAAATAGATAAGGAGAAAGGGGAGATCTTTCAATGCAAAGAACAAATAGATAAGGAGAAAGGGGATCTCCTTGTCTAATGCCATTACTGGGAGAAAACGAGTTAGTGAGTTCCCCATTCACACAAACTTGGTACTTTACCGAGGAAACACACTGCATAATCAATTGTACAATGGGGGGAGGCAGCCTCAACTCAACAAGAACAAGCTCAATAAAACTCCAACGCAACCGATCATAAGCTTTAGACAAATCAATCTTCCAAGCAATAAATCATTTATTTCCATTGGCAATTCTGAACTTGTGCATAATCTCTTGCGCGATCAAAATGTTATCATCAATTTGCCTACCAGGGACAAAATTGACTTGGTTGGGACTGATCTAACTAGGAAGAATAGGCTTGAGTCTGGCAACCAAGATCTTAGAGATGACCTTGTAGAGAGTAGAACATAAACTAATAGGCCTAAATTGTGCCATTGAATGAGGATTCTCAATCTTAGGAACAAGGGTGATCAAAGTAGAATTCAATCCCTGAGGAATGATGCAGTCCCTAAAAGATGTGCAAACCATATCAAAGATGTCGTTACCACATAGTTGCCAATTACTTTGAAAAAAGCAAGCTGGGAACCCATCAACTCCAGGAGCTTTCAAACCCCCAATACTAAATAAGCTCTCTTTAACCTCAAGGATATCCACATCTTTAGTCAGCATATCTAAATCTTGAGAATCAACAGTAGGAAACAAATTGGGGAGATTTAAATCATTGGCATTACCTTGGGTCTGGGAAAATAGGCCAATAAAATAATTGACAGCAATTTCTTTAATACCCACAATTCCTTCAATCCAAGAACCACTCTCATTTTTCAGCCGCTCAAGCTTATTCCTCCTCCTTCTAATTAGGGTAGTCAAATGAAAGAATTTTGTATTCCTGTCACCATCTTGTAGCCATTGCACTCTAGATTTCTGGTGCTAGAACAATGCTTCCTGCTCCAAGACAGAGTTATAATCATCAGATAAAGTAGCCTCTAGCTGAAGCAGATAATTATTAGGCCCAAAGCAGAGAACCTGCTAAATGCCAGCTAGTCTACGTAAGAGCTTAGCCTTCTTTTGCCTTAAAGGACCAAACACATTCAGATTCCAATGCTTGAGTGGTTCAACCAAAGCACAAGGTTTTTCCAATGCAAACCCAGAACCAAGATCCCACTGTAACATAATGAAATCTTTAAATTGAACATGTTGCAACCACATGGCCTCAAACCGAAAAGGGCTAAGTGAATGGGCGGAACAAAAACAATTTTAAGTATGTTATAAGGCCTACTATATGGGTGTCACCAACGGGTGGATTAATGTTCCCTTTTATGTTAAGTATAAATTTAAATGAGCTAAAGACTACAGTTTTAATTGCATGACCATAAAGCATTGTATAATCATTGTGTTTCTTCTGTCCTTGTGTCTACAACTTTTGGTTGTAACGATTAAAAGGCTAAAGCATGTTATTTGACAAAGAAAGTCCAATAAAGCCCAATGGACCTCTCCTTAAAATAGGATTGGTTGGTCCAAAGTGCCTTATGTAAATTGACAAGTAAATGATACCACTCTTAACATGGACAAAAAAATATCGTTAACCTCCAAATTTCAATGTTCTCAAATGGTAAAAAAAATCCTAAATTTTTCTCATGGGTAATCCATCCATGCAAATTTCATGTCAGATCAAATCCAGTTCAAAATCTTTGAGTAATATTTCAAAGGATTCTAAACCCTTTTCAAATGTCTCAAAGACAAAATTCTCAATTAATGGGTCCTTTACTCATTAATTTCCAAAACTTTTGAACTATGTTGGTTTGATCCAAGTTTACGAAAACACTTTTCCAAGCAAATCCACCTCAAATTTCTTTTTCAATGAGTCATTTACTCATTGTAATTCCTTAAATTACCAGTGGCTTGATTCCTGAAATGGATACGTGAGCAACCTAGGGTTCTACTTAAGACCAACCACAAAATCAAACAAATTTTTTATTTATGTTTATTTCTATTGTGGAATCAAAGGGTTTTCCCGATTGCAATTAAGAGACACTTTGTGTCGAATGAGACGAACCTAAAAATAATAAAGCACCATTACTTAGGTAGCGGTAGTGAAATTATGTTGGATGACACATTTTACCTTAACAATGACTTTATGTTATTTTGAATTAGAAGCCCATTGTGGTGATTTCTTCTAAGCCATGCTCATATTGAAGTTTTTCATCACTTTTAAAAAAAAAAAATGCAGAAACGGAAATTACAAAGCGAAACCCCTATGACAAGAAAGCCTAACGAGCTCAAAATAAAAAGGAGAACATACTAACAAAGGAAGCCCAAGCTCCCAAAAAACTTGCGATGAGAGCCCATGGCCCAAATTTGCTATAGCGTCCACATATGTTGCCTCCCTATACATATGTTGGAAGCAAATAAAAGTTGCAGAAGAGCTAAGGTGCTAGTTATCTTGAATAATTTGTTGGATACTCCAAGGGGAAGTAACTTTTCTAAGGACGTTGTCAATAACAAGCTTAGAGTCACCTTCTACCACAATCTGACCCCAATCTCTATCAAAAGTAGCAGCAAACCATCCTAAAGAGCAACACTTTCAACCACATTTGTGGAATTTTCACCAATGTTATTGGCACTAGCTAGTAACACATGGCCATCACTATTCCTAATGACAAAACCAGTGGTGGCTTGAGAATTAATGACAGACCCATTTAAGTTAATTTTAATCCAATTTGTAAGAGGGGGTGCCATTTTATCCATTTGTAGGGATATCATTTTTCTTTTTGACCAAGTGGTTATGATGCCAATAATCCATGCCAACAGTAGCTGCAGCATGAAAACAACTAGCAGGATGTGGCTGAGAATCTCATAACAGCAGATTATTTCTAGCTTCCCAAATCTGCCAGCAAATGAAAATAGCTTTGGACAAATGATCCAGACTTGGAGGTTGAGTAGTGCAAGCCAAAGAGGATAACTAACTAATGAAATCACCAACTTGCTATGTTGTGCTAATCCTTCAATCAAATCTTTCTTCCAAAATCCTATCTCTAAAACTCTTCATTTTCTCTAAATTTATTTCTACCTCACATTTGAAGGAGTTTGCTGCAATCGACCCAATTATTTTTTGCCATGATTGTTTAATTGACATATTTGTCTGCTATTATGCATAGTTATATTTTTGAAAATAATGTTTTTCCTACATCTGTCAAATTTTATGCATTCACTTAAAAGATGTCGACCGTGACCCTTACCAAAACAGAAATTCATAATCAATGTATGCGTCCAACTTGTAAAATCAAGCATATACTTGTCCTTATCATTTTCGTGATTACACCACAAAAATCTCATGCATATGTCGCAAAAATGAAATTCAAACTCACACAATCTTCATTGGCACGTGCATCCGTGGGCACGTCACGTGAAATCCTGGTATGGTTATAAACAACGGCATGTTAACGAAACACTGGTGATTACCAGGGAGGCAATTACTTGTAAATGAAACCCTAGCAAAACCCTAACCATAAAATTGCCATTGACGACCACCATGAGCGAAGAAGCCATGAAGGTGGACCAACCCCAGCCACCGAGGACCGAAGCCCTCCAAACCCTAACCAAAGGTCCTCTCTCCTCGTCGATATCCAAGCTCTCAGGCTCATCGCGTGGCATACCTTCCAACCAAGACTTCTATTTCTACCGCAACTTCGAAGAATTCAAGGCCCCGATCGAACAAATCACAGAACAGTCGCAGTCAATGCTCGGCTCCGTTGGCTCTTCGGCGCCTATTTGGGGCAAAAAGATGGTTTTCCCCCAAGACTTGGACGACGCATACGATTGGCTGGTTAACGTCAACGACGAGGTGCTCGAAAGGTTTGACTCGTCGGTGGACGAGTTCAAGAGGATCAGGAAAGAGGCAGAGGAGCCCAAGCGGCCGATGAGTGCGGATTTTGACTCGGAAAATGGGTTTCAATTGGTCTGTGGGAAGAAGAAGAAGGGGCCCAGTGGCTCGGCGAGTGCTAATGGTGATTCGACTCAGGTCTCGAGCGTGAAGGTGGCTACCAAGGACAAGAAGACTGTGGGGACGAAGCCCAAGGTACCGTTTCATATACCGACAATTCGGAGGCCTCAGGAGGAGTTCAACATTTTGGTTAATAATTCAAACCAGCCGTTTGAGCATGTTTGGTTGCAGAGAAGTGAGGACGACCAGCGTTTTCTTCATCCCCTTGTAAGTCATTAATTGATGTTTTTAGTCTGTTCGAACATTATGATGTTTTCTGTGCCCATGGAGCCAGTGGTGTAGGAATTCTTTATGATTCTTTACTGCAATTAAATTCTTAGAATTGGAAAAGAAAACATGATTTGTGTTGGTAGATGTGCCATTACTCAATATGGTTTTGAAAATGGTTACATTTTTTAGAATACATGTCAAATCATTTTGGGGCTATGCTGTCAAAAAATGGGTCTTTAGAGAAAGATGTATTTTTGACAATGTGGGAAGCTATACACTAATGGGGTGCCCTGCACCAAGTTTATCATGTTATGTTCCCTTCCCTTAATGTTTAAACTCATGAGGGAGGATGGATGGAGTGTTGGGAACTATATGCAGACTTTACCAATATAAATTTGAGTTACAAATATTTCCGACATTTCTCTATCCTAAGGGGTTTTCCAAAGGCATGGCTGGTCTAAAAACGATAACTGAGTGAAAAATTTGGAATTTATCACTATCCATCTATAGAATATCCTTTATTTTTTATTTACATGGAACTGCTTGAGGCAAGACCTTTGGGCCTGCCATTTATTTCATTTTCTAGAGTGTGTTCTCCATCTTCTTCAATCTGACACACCATTACAGGCATCTTTTAAATCAAGACAAAAACTTTTATGTGTCCGTAGAGGAGTGTATAAATGCATTTATTCAACCAAATAGTATTCCTTCTATAATTACTCAAGATCACCAGTTGTAGACCCATGACTTAGCTAAGAAAACACATGTACCTTGTTTTTGTTATAAACACAAATGTACATTAGCTAACAGACGGTGAAACAAATCTGGCCTGAATAAAAACACCTGGAAAGCCAATAGCTGTCTGTACGGAAAGGAGTATACAATGATAATTTTTGAAGCTCTTAGTTTGTTATTGAGTTAGGTTTTGTTATTGCAAAATGGCAAAAGAAGCATTGAGTTGCACACTAGATGCTAGTTTGTCCGTTCTTTTTGTTAACTTTTATTCTAGTTTTACTACATGGATATCTTCTTCTGACCATGGATTTGTTGAGCATTATTAAATTTATCTGTTCTTACTGACATAGTTGTATGGAATAGTGTGTTTCAAGGTTTTTGTGATTTGATGTATTAATTTGAACTACTTTTTTGGTTGCATGAAGTGATAGATTTTATATTTTATTTATGCTCATCGAATAATGAAACTTTATCTTTACCTTGCATAATTAGGTTTGCTTGCTAAAATTAAAATACCTGTTTTCCCTTTTATCTTCTAATTTTTGTTTTCCTGAATGAATAAAGGAGAAGCTTTCTGTTCTGGATTTTGTTGACACTGATGTTGGGGATGTTGAGCCTGTAAAACCACCCTCATTGGAGTCTACACCATTCAAGCTTGTGGAGGAGGTCAAAGATCTGAAAGAGCTGGCAGCTAAGCTGCGTGGTGTTAATGAATTTGCGGTAAAATTGGACGGCAATGATTTAATTTTTATTGTCAGTCGATCTGAATTTCATGGTTATTTACACTATATTAATTTTATCATCATTGCTAGATTGTATATCAAAGTCATTAATGATTGGGGAAGTTTGTTGCACTTGCAGTTACAGTGATAATCATGGTTTTTTTTTTTAAGGTTAGGAAGTATGATTATATTCTAGGCACTGGCATACAAATTATACTTGCAACAGCAATACAATCTCAAAATCTGGGGGTGTGATGTGACAAAGTTGAAAAATGAAGGTCCATTTTGAGAATCACCCCAAACCTCGATGGTGTAAAACGTAGTTAGCCCTTTTTTGTGTCCACATGCAATTTGGAAAGTTGTAAAGACCACAGATCTAAATGTAATAACTATTTGTTTCTTTCCTTTCAACTTTTATTTATTTATTTTATATGTATTGTTAGGGACTTTTCTTTCATAAAAGTTTGTTCTTTAATAACTAAGATATATATGCACATATATATTCTTTGGCTGTTCTTTATGTTTTGCATGAAGTTACTTTCATTTAGCCTTTTCCCTTCGATCTCTGTAATTTTGCTTCTAAGGTGTGTGACAAAACTGAGTTTTCACAATGTATTCACTGGTATCTGCCATGAAATTGCTTAAGTTGGCATCTCAATATTGTGGTTACTTCATTTACTTTAGACATTTTAATGTGGCATTCATTTCCATGCATTTTAAACCTCTATCCTTTGCTGTGTAGGTTGATTTGGAACACAATCAATATCGATCCTTTCAAGGATTGACTTGCTTGATGCAAATTTCTACTAGAACTGAAGATTTTATAGTAGATACTTTGAAGCTTAGAATTCATGTTGGTCCATATCTCAGGGAAGTTTTCAAGGACCCTGCCAAGAGAAAGGTTTGTATCTTGCTCATATGCATTTCTCAGTTCGTAACATATCAGCTAATTTTTTTCCTGATAAAATTTATAATTCATTAGGTGATGCATGGAGCAGATCGAGATATCATGTGGCTCCAACGTGATTTTGGCATTTATATCTGCAATTTGTTTGATACTGGCCAGGTGATTTACTTTGAAACCACTGAACAAATGGATTCACTTATCATGTAAAGGAATACTTAATTCTGTTTCCATAATTTGGAAAAGTATCATAGCTGTACTATTTGTTTCTATAATTTTAGCCCTTTTACTCAAAATATATTTTAATCTTCATAATGTGCTGCTAACCAAGGACAATGGGGTTGTCTTAATCTTCAGGCCTCAAGGGTATTGAAAATGGAGAGAAATAGTTTGGAATATCTTCTACATCAGTTATGTGGTGTTACTGCTAACAAAGAGTAAGTGTTTTATTTTTACTTTAATTTCTTCAATCTTCTAAGTGTTCTAAATACTTGTTATTATTTATATTTTCAATAAATTTGCTTGTTGCTGCTTTGACTGTCACCTATTTCTCCAGCTCATATTTTTCAAGCTTGACTAGTGAACTCTTTGCAGATACCAGAATGCAGATTGGAGATTACGCCCACTTCCTGAGGAGATGGTCAGGTAAAAATGTGGATTATGGCATATGTTTACTGGGTAATATAGCTAGTATTAGTTGAGTCGATTATATATTACAAGTCCGTAAATCATTGTTCTCTTTCAATTTTGTTCAATGCAACTTTAACTTTCTGCCTTTATATATAAGAGTGATTTGAAACTGAAAAATCCAAAATCTAGTTAGTTGGTTTCTTCCTAATATCATTTTAATATACTTTGCTTGCTGTTTGATTTTAAAATGGTTGTCCCAGTTACGACTGATTGATTGTTAAGGATAATATGGCTTGTGGATAGCAGTTAGTTTTATGATTAAGATTGCCTCCAAATTGAAAAAATTGGATTGGACAACTTATTACATGAAGTCTGCACGCATGGACGTTCCAACCAATAAAACCCTAATGAACCCAAAAAAAGAATAAAGGCCCAGCAGAAATGACTTGTTTTTTTGAGACCTATCCATCTACGTTAAGGTCCTCAACTCATACTATAACAAGACCCTGCTTTAGAAATTTTAAATTTCTTTTATTCTTATGTATTTTAATTTTGCCTTTTTGGTGGTTCATATTCTAGTTGTTTAAGTTGTTGCATTCTTGTGACTGTTCTTTTTAGATTACTTTGAGGTGATGAAGTTAAGCTCCCCAATTCCCTAAAGCAGTTTTGTTATCTTGACAGATATGCCAGAGAAGATACACACTATCTGTTGCACATGTATGATTTAATGAGAACAATGTTATGTTTGATGCCAAAGGAATCAGAAAACTTGGACACTCCTTTAGTAGAGGTATAGTACATATGAGGATCCCATGCTTCTCTCTACTCTCCTGGAATTATATGTTTTTAATCTTTTGTGTTATGCACATTCTTAATGCTTTTATGTACTGTAAACTTTTGTAGCTAACTGCTAGTTTTGATTTATGGCTTATGGATGAGTATACTTTTAATTTCCATTAGAGTGCTCATTGTTCCTGCAAGACTGTGACTTGTTCCCAAGTCATTGTTTTGCTTTTATATGAGTGCAATTTCATTATTTAATTTGCTTACTTTTGGTGGTTAATGCAATGTTCCTTGTTGTTTCATTTCTAGCATTGAAGTTGACCATATGGGATGTTGAAATTCTATTTGTATTCCTTTTTCTGAATGCTTGTGGGATCTGGTCAAATTTGATTTAATTAGTCTTTGCGTAGAAGTTTACGAGCTCTGTGAAAATGCTCATGAAATGCATCAGCGATGTCTCACCAAAGATTAACAAGTAATCAAGAAAGCCACCCTGTTAATTAATTGTTCATTCCAATCTATTTGTTGAGGAGATGATTTATGGCATTATGTAATTTTTGGTAATTTGTGGTCGTGTGAAGGTTGAAATATTCTGCTAGATGTTGTCTTTGGTTGTCTTAGCACTCTATTATTTTGCATTGTAGTTATGAACGATCTAAAGTCTAAGGGAAAGATAGCAGAGGGTTATTTTTGAAGCGTCTTTTGGGTCCATCTAGTGCAGCCATTAAAATTTTTGTATTGTTTTCATCAAGTGTTATTAGTTTGGAATAATTTTTCTGCAGGTGTGGTTATTATAATTTTTTTTCTCTGTAGCTGATTTGATCTTAGGCCTTAGCCAATTGGCTTGTGGTTCTGATGATGGAATGGCATATTTGTTTCTTTTTAATAGGAAATTTGTTTGATCTTTTAAGATTAAAAAGATGGCGTTCTTAGTGCTTTTTCTAGTCCCTTGAGCGAAAAGAAGTATGTTAAAATTGAGTTGTTTATAACATATGCAGATGGATGATTGTTCGAGTTGGTGTTTTTATTATTTGTGTAGGTAACCCTTCTAGTATGATCTGAGCCGAGCATTCTTTCATATGTAGTAAATATGTCTTCCTGGTAAATTAGTTGATACAGCTTAGAAAATGGTTCTTTAAATTACATTCTCTTATATATACGTTGTTTTCTATTTATTAATTTTATTGAAGACCCCTTAAAAAAAAATTCCTGACAGGTTTACAAGCGGAGTTATGATATATGCATGCATCTGTATGAGAAAGAGCTTTTGACAGAAAATTCCTATCTCCATATATATGGGTATGTTTCTCTATATCAGGTTAAAAGGCTAGCATACTGTGTACCTAATTTATTTTCTTTGTTTCTCTTTTCTTTTCTTCTCCTTTTTTTTTTTTGGGTTTTGTCTTGGATGGTAGATCACCTGTGAATTCCCTCCTTTCCGTTCATTTTCTTCTGGGATGGTAGATCACCTCTGAATTCCAGAGAGTTTACATCTTTTCCAGTTGCCATTGCCCAAACCCACCACCACCCTATCCCCAGGATCCCATTATCAAAAGTTCTCAAAACTGGTGTAATCCAATAAAGCCCAAGTCGCTAACTCTTCCTCATCCCCGTTACAATTTTTTAATCCAAACAGATCAAAAATACCTAAACTAGAAACAGAAATCTTGTTGCTTAACATCCAACATCAAGTTGTGTGGTACCACCTTCAAAAATTAAACCTTTACCAACCCAGTTAACAAGACTATATCTGTAAAACGCCAAAACAATGTAATATGTTATGTGCGTCCTCTTCAGGTCCACAACTCGGACCTAAACTCCCATACAGTGAAAAACTTTTTCAATCAAATTAATTGATTATCATTAAGTGGTTGAGGTTTTTGCGAGAAAATTGACCCTTTAGACCAGATTGAAACTGAAAACCTACTAGAGATTAATATGTGTGAGTAGATGATTACTGGTTCTGTCAGGGAGGGAAGTTTGCAGTTCTAACTCCATCAGGAGTGCCCTATGGGTCTTGAGCCTTCAAGTAAAATTGGTGACATGACCTTTATCCAACTACGTGTGGTAATTGAGGGAGTATAATATATGAAAATGACAGGAGTCCAGTTCTTTTATATTAGGGAGCTTATTTGAGGGACACCTTTGGAGGGCCCACTTCGCGTTGTACTTCAATGATCCGAACCGTCTAGTTTTTAGGTCTTCTCTCAAAGATCATCGCTGCAAAACTTACTCAATACCATTTAACCACTCAATTACTTGGTTGTAATTTTAATGTTTTCTTGAAACACCACGTTCTTCTATTTTTTGGTCACAACTAAGATGTTTTCTTGGTTTCCAGTTTGTCTAATTTTTTTTTCAAGGATGATCTTTAAATGAAGATTTGATTTTGGATCATTGAAGTATAAAACCGTAGGGGACCTCACAAGGTTATTTAATGCCCTTGGTTAACCAACATGTTCGACAGAAGAATTTAATTTGAAAAGGCTAAAATAATAAAAAAGGAAAAAAAAAATGTCACATTGGGGAGGGTGCCAACTGGCTAGTATATATTATAGCATATTATAATGACTAAGATATATTCTTTTCTGTTTTGATCCAGGTTGCAAGGTGCTGGTTTCAATGCTCAGCAGCTTGCAATTGTTTCCGTAAGTTGCCTTCTTATTTTCTTCTTTGTATCATTCAAATTTTAACATTGGTTGATTCACTTAAACAGTAAAACACTGAAGATATCCCCTCTGCTATTCCAATACGATTTTCATTGTGTGGTACCCCTGATCCATTTATCGTTAATGATTTTTCGTGTAGGAAGACTAGTTTAAATGTTAAAATGATTGCATGAAGGAAAATTGTTAAATGCTTTGTCACATTCATAAGGATATAATCTGTTGTTTCCTTATTGAGTAATGTAATATCTACTATGTTTTAGGAGAGGCACTTATATTCTTAAGTAATGTGTAAATGTGTAATATTAATGGTTGTATGCTACTTATTCTAGATGTACTTTAAAAATGATTTTTCAGGGTCTTTGTGAGTGGCGGGATGTTGTTGCTCGTGCAGAGGATGAAAGTACTGGCTATATATTACCAAACAAAACTGTTCTTGAAATTGGTAATGGGAAACTTGTACAAAATTGCATCTCAATATTTCTCTCTCTTTTCTCAACATGTTTAAACAGTAGACATTCAACTTATTTATTTATTTATTTATTGGTAATAGCTAAACAGATGCCTGTCACTACTAGCAAGTTAAAGCGATTGGTGAAATCAAAGCACCCGTACATTGAGCGCAATCTTGCTTCTGTGGTTAGCATCATTGGGCATTCTATGCAAAATGCTGCTTTTTTTGAGCCTGCGGTCGAACATCTGAAATTGGGACGTGCGGGTATGGTAAGGCCTTGTGTTTAGAAGTCTGATCATCACGGTGACTGGGCATTGTTGTTTGCTTTTCTATATTAGGCTTGCATTCATTGGTGACCCATATATTGTTGGATCATAGGAAAAGCCATCCCTCCTATGGGGTGAGATGGATAAAAAATTATGACTATTGCAGATATTGGATTGCATTGACTATGTTATCATGACTGCGTTTTTTAGGAAATATCGGTGGGGGAGGAAGAAAAGTTTGTAAGGAATTCAGCTGCAAAGTTAATAACTGAAGCACTGTAAAGTCATTAAATATACTTTACCAAATGATTAGCTATAAATTATGCTTTGTTAAATACTTCATGCCAAATTCCTTGTGCTGAACTGTTGAATCTGATTAGAACTGTGGAATTAAACTGTCATTTTGATAAATTTTATTAAAAAAAATTTCCATTGTCAGTTATAATGTGCTTTGGTTTTTTTCAATTTACCTTTGATGTCATGGGGGTTACCAATTTGTGGCATTCCATGAAAAGAAATGAATGTTTACAAAGATATACTGGCTCTATGGGTCCTGTGCAATTCAGGTTGCTAAGTGCTGCAAAATACATACTCCTCCTCTCGTCTGATATGCGGTCTACTTTGGTTGAGAATATCTATTTGTTTTTATTGTTGCTCTTTGGTTTTACCTGAGCACTCAATTTGTGAATCTCTTAGGCCATCCATTATATGAACAGGTGAAAATGTATATTTTTTTCCCATCCACATTATGTTTCAACCAAGAAAAAAACATCCATAATATGCATTTTTGTTTGTCTAGAAGTCTGCTATCCTTATCTTTCCTACTTGAGTACTATCAAGAAGAGTTTTTTCTTTTTTCGTGCTTATATTTTAAATTATTTTAAGGCCTCGTTTGGGACTCCTCTAGGAAGCACTCCTGCTCATAAGCGCTTCTGGTAAAACTACTTTTATTATTAAGATGTTGAAATCTTCATAAGAAATCCAAGTGCTTACTGAAGAAGCACATAGCCAGTGCTTCTCCAGAAAGCGCTTCTATGAGCCAGAAGTGCTTCTAAACTTTTCTGTCAAAAGTGCGTTTGGTTGTCATAAAGCACTTTTAGCCCTTCTAGAAGCACTCCCAAACAGGCCCTTAATTAAATTGAAATCCATATTTTATTGGGACTTGGAGTATGATAGAGAATGTTCTTCAGATGTTTGGTATCACTATAATTTCAGTTCTTTTGGTAACAGTAGGCCTGTTTGCAGGCAACTGAAGAGAATATATTGGCGAATGAAGGATCTGAAGCCGTCTTACCTGATGAGTCCTGCAGCAATTCAATTAATGGTGATATATCTGCAGCTTCACCTGCTTCTCCGCCACATAAAATGGAGGATACTGAACTTGGATGTGGTGCCTCGGAACTTGTAAGAGGTGGACAAGAAAGCTCTCTTGAGCATCCTGGTGAAAATGGGAAAGGAAAGATTGAATGCAGTAGCAACACTTCTGTGCTTCCTAGACAGAATATTGTTCCGTGGCAAAGCAGAGAAGCAAGCAGCAATGCCTGTTTATTAGATTCAACAAAGGTTTTAAAACCATTGGCTTTCTTTGAAATTTTATATTGTTTGTTTCTTGCTCATAAAGCTTTGGTCTTAAAATGATTGTCTATTTCTGTTGTAGGTTACCGGAGTAAGTGTTCAGGTGCAAAAGAAGCCTAGCTGTGCCTTTAGTTCCCTGTTGGGGAGTGGAGTTTCAAAAAGAAAGTTTGATGCTGATAGAAAGGTTAGTAAGAATGCTGTAATCAATTTGTCCTGAAATGGCAGACCATCTTTGTCGATTCTTTTATTGTTTGCAGTGGCAGCTAGACTTGAACCTTGCACATTGCTTCTCTCAAGTCAAATCGAAAGATTGCATCTTGAAATGCTTTCTTATATAGCTTAGTAATTCCAACTGGAAATGCTTTCTTATATAGCTTAGTTCTCCTAGTTTGGACAAGACACTTAAGTGACCCCCTTTTTTTTTATAACTTAAACTGTAATTGAATAATATATTATTGGTGAAATTTTGTATTTTTACGTGTTTTTTCATGTAATCTTCTTTAGTAACCTGTACTTTGCTAACTCTTTTGCTACATGATTTTCTTTATAGAACAAGGAAGACAAGTTGGAGCAAATTAGGTCATCAATGAACTTTCCTTTCCACTCATTTACGGGAAGCAGTGAGCAATCAAAGCCAATCATCAAAGCACCAGCTACAAGTTCCGAAATTCCCCATTCTGAAGGGCCTCTCACTGTATCACCTGACAGGTCTAATTTAGATGATATCATAACACTGGAAAATGATTCAGATGTGGGTGAACCAATAAATGGTTGCTCAGAAACGAGAAATGAGAATGATTCAGTGGCATCTGCTTTGGGGAGGGATGGAGAAGATGAACCTATGTCTCTCTCTGATTTGTCCTCAAGCTTCCAAAAATGTTTTCAGTCATGTAAGCAAAACAGGAAACCCAGAGAAGTGGAGAAATCCCAAGAATCCGGTGGTTTGCAGGTGAAGCCTTTTGACTATGAAGCAGCAAAGAGAGGGGTCATTTTTGGAGCTAAGCCGGTTAAAGATGCCAGAGCTGGGGAAGGTGTAAGGAGCCTGAATTTAGGAGGGAAGAAAAAATCTTTAGGCGGTATAGTCTCAAATGATGATGGGTCAAAAGAACTAGCACAAGGTAGACGACGACAAGCTTTTCCAGCAAGTGGAAATAGAAGTGCAACGTTTCGTTAAGTTTCAGGCATAGATTTGTTCTGTATTACACAAGTGACAGAATGTTTTAAGTTGTCAAAAGAAATGGAATGAAATTGAAAGAAGAAAAAGAAAATTATAAGTGTTTTTAAAGAGCTTCAATTTTCAGAATGGTGAGAACGGGGTTAATAGCAGGTTATTAGGTAAAGCTGCCTAAAATTGACCGTAAAATATTTAACTCTCCAAATTGAGAAATTAATATTTTTAGGTTTCATCTAAATCTAATCAGCGTAAAACACGGGTTAAATTAAGTTATGCCTCACTATAATTCTAGCCCATAAGAATGATTAGAGGATAACTTGGTTCACAATAATTCTAGAACCCCAAAAGAGGCAAAAGTTACATCTGAACCTTCCTCTTTCTCCAGTAACATACCAAAATGAGCTCCAATATCAGACTCAGGGACATCTATGGAGTGCAATCTTGAACTGTCTATTGCAGAAACCGCAACACCAACAGTGCAATTAAAGCTTCAAGCAATCGTCCTTAAGGAAAGTCGATGACTCAAGCATAGTGCGTCTGAAAAAAACGTTTGTAGCCCTTAAATGAAGCATATGCAAATAAGCTTTTTGAAGGGGAAAAAACGTATGCAAGAAACGAGTTTAAGGAATCTAATGAAAAATCCTTTAGATCATTTCTGGAAGTCTTGCATGTTTTAGATAACAGTGATGATGAACAAATAAATGACAAATGCAGATGTTACACGCATTCTCCAAAAGTGCACAGTAGAGTGAAGGAATATGGCAAATATGCATTCAGATGTTTAAAATATTACAATACTTAAATATATAGAGGGGAGAAAATTCCATGTTAAGCCACAATGGGGAACTAGAAAACCTATGATGCATGCAAGGTTAAACAAATGATTGTCAAAATCTACCGAGTATTGGTGGAAATATCTATATAAATCATGAGAATCATGGAAATTTTGAAGTAAAACTTTCAGGAAATGTGAAACTATTCAATAATGCACCTATTAAATATGGTATGTAGTATATTTAATAGGTGCATTATTGATGGAGTAGATATCAAACTTGTTGCGGCTGCTGGAGGAGGTGAGATTATTTCCATACAAAGAAGATGCAAGAAGATGGTCCTTAGAGCCTTCAGGGCAATTTTCTTGTAAATCCTACTTAAATCGATTGAGAAACATACCAGGTAGTCCACCTTTTCTCCCTTAAAGTCTGATTTGGAAATCCAAGGTTCCTCCCAAGGTTAATGTTTTGGCTTAGTTGGTGGTACAAGGGATATTAGCTATTGGTTGAATAGGAAGTCCAAAACAAGTGAAAGAGACAGAGACAGAAAGAGAAATCCGCTTTAAATTCCAACAAAATTCACCAAACTCTTTTACTTTATGTATGTCTTTCAAAGTCCATGACATTTTGAATACATCGCGTCCTTAAAAATTTGGCTTGAAGACATTTTGATAAAGTCATTTTTAAGGACGCGATATTCAAAGTTCATGGAATTTGATAAAGTCATTTTGAATACATTTTGATAAAGTCATTTTGAATAAAGTTTGAATTGAATATGTCGGAACTTTTATACTACTTTAAAATCCTAAAAATACCCTTGAATTTTTAAAGTCATTTAGAATCCCTTAAAAAGTTCAAATTGAATACATAAATTTAAGACCATTCGACTTGCTAGGGTTGCGAGAATGGCATCCTACCTAAGATTGAAACCGACTCAACCTCAGTTCATTATCTTTCCTCTTCCTGTTTTTTGTTTTAAAAAGTAAATGTACTACTAAACGAATCGCAAACTTTTTTATATGTCTTCATATATTCAAATTTATGAAATTTACTTACAAAGGATGCCAAATTTCTATCCTTGTGAATTTTCTTGTAGCAATTACTGATTGTTGGTGGACCTTTCAAATAGCTACAATTTCTCTGATTCTTGGCTGCCTGGTATGTTTGTAAGTTTCAAGGACTGCTTTTTATCTTAGTTATCAGATAAAAAGTTTTCTTTATATAGGGGATCTCTGAGTATTTTTCTCAATATGTGAAACTATACATAGTTTGCTTAGGCAGTGGGTTTTTTGTTTTGTTTTGCTACACCTAATTTACTTAAGCAGCCCATCTTATGTTCATATGTGTGGTTGTTACTTTATGCAGACGTTTCAAGGTAAGGCCAATACATATGTATGGCAAGCCAATGAAGAGGAAGCATTATTAAATATCCTTGATGAATTAGTTGCAAGTGGTCAACGTTATGACACCGGCACATTCAAATCAGGGATGATGAAATTGGTAGAAACTCAACTCAGATTATTGGTCCCACATACATCTATTAGAGTTACACCCTATTTGGATTCTAAATTGAAGAAATTGAAGAAGGATTATAGTATTGTTGTTGACATGTTAAACCAAAGCGGTTTTGCTTGGAATGATGAAAATAAGGTTTCTCACACCCATTATCAAGGTGTCATTGGGTTTTGCACCCGAGACAACTCGACTGCAACTCAAGACCCTTTTTAATTGGGCTAGATCCCGTTAGCATGCCTAGGATGGTTTGTGGCTATTTGTTATGTTGGTTTGTTTTTCTGGGTTTTCCCCAGTTCATTAAAAAAAAATTAAAAAACCCAAACCGATATTAATTTATTTTAAATTTTTTTGATTTCTAAATGTTTTGAGTTACAAAGATATTCTATTCTAAGGAGATGGGGAGTGCAAACTGCTAGGCCACTCCACGTTATAAGGGGGAGGGCAAACTGCTAGGCCACTACACGTCCTTTGATTTCTAAATAGTTAAGTTGTTTAAAATTAATTGAAACCCCTACTTCCCAGCCCTGCCCCAACCCAGCTTCCCCACTCCCTCCACTGTCACCCAAACCCACCCAATTTTACACATAGCTAAGTCCAAATTCTCGGGGCCGCCGCTTAGAAAGTTAGATTTGGACTGGATATGGTGGTTTGTTGGGTGAGCTGAATAATTTTGGGTGGCTAAGAATTTGTCTGCAATTTGCTTCTTCAGTCGAAGTTCACAATGCCTAGTCTTCAATGCACTAGCACGACCATTGGCCTTAGGCACTGGTCTCCTGGCCTGAGATTCCAAATCTTTTGAATAGTCTCTTAATCTTACAGCGCTGCTAAAGTAGCAACAACAAAGCTCTCTTTTTCATTCTCAGGTTCAGGTTCAGGTTCAAGTTCAGGCTCAGGCTTAGGCTCCACCACATCAATCTTTTCTTTGCTCTGATTCTGGATGCAAATCTTCAATTTCTTTGCTTTGGATGTTAGGGTTTTTGAGGTTTAGGCCTCTTTTTTTTTTTTTTTTGTTTTTGTTTTTTTTCTTCTTCTTCTTTTTTCAATACAAACAATAGTCTGAACTACATGGGGAATGAGGTTTCTCACACCCATTATCGAGGTGTCATTGGGTTTCAAACCCGTGACATCGAGTCTACAAGTCAAGACCATTTTCAATTGGGATAGACCCTGTTAACATGCCTAGGCGGGTTTGTGTTGAGTAGTTTTGTTGATTTGTTTTTATGGGTTTTTTTTTTTCCCTAGTTCACTAATTTAAAAAAATCCCATATTTTTTGTTTTTCTAAATATTTTGAGTTACAACTATATTCTATTCTAAGAGGAAGGGGGAGTTTCGAACCCAGGCCAACTAAATAATAAGGGGGAGGGTTGGCCATGACATGTTGGTTCCCCATTATTTGTGGGGTTATACCGTCTTAACTGCTACCTATTTGGTTAATCGTGTTCTTAATTATTGGATTCCTCTCGAGGTGTGTGGGCAAGAAGAATATCTCCTAAGTCAATTAATTGAGCCCATTTATTTGGCAAATTAATTGATACTAAAAATAGGGATATTATCTTTATTTAAAAAGATAATATCACCAATTAAGATATTATCCGAATTTGGAGCTAATTAGTGATTTGATCCCAATCAAATCCCTAATGGATTCAATCTCTACAATTTGAGGAAAGAATATCTTCCTTCCAAATAAGAAGATATTCTTTGAAAAACCATAGATGCCTAGAACTCTATAAATACATGGCTACATTCAATACAAAAGGTAATCCAATTTCTACCTGAACCCTACACACACTCTCTCTCGCCGTCGCCCCTCTCTCCATATTTTCCTATCACAACTCCAACCACCACACTCAGCTCCAGCCACCCGATTATCTTCATAGAGAAAACTCCGTTCCCTTTTTTAGCTATTGTTTCTCCTAGATGCAATCGAATTAACTTAGGCATCAGAGGGTCTTTAGCCAACACCCCCTGGGTGTGGTCTTTGACTCTAGTTCGATTTTACAGGAACTGAGGAAGAGAGAGAAAGAAGTTTAAAGGGTGAAGGATATTCAAGCGGATATTCTCCCGTGAGAATTTTTGCACAAACAAGGTGCTTACTGAACACTTTTGTCCTCTGAGTATCTAACTGCCTCCTAAAATCTTTGGGTGTGTTACTTATGTTCATTTTATCCTCACCAATGAAGTGCCCTATGGTGTATGTTCACGGGATACTCCACTCAAAAGGGATTTAAATGTTACCATCTTCCAACACAGAAGATGTATGTGACTATGGACGTTATCTTCCATGAAGTTATCCCATATTATTTTGGCTCTGACAACCCCTCATTTTTAGGGGGAGAGGAGGAGCGACGAGAAGTTGTGTCTGCACAAATTTTATGGTGCCTCCCAAAACCAAAGGATCATATATATGACTAGTCATCCAAACTATAACTTAGAACCAAAAAATTGATTGTATAACATGACTAGTCATCTGAATTAGGTTCGTCCTACGTCCTCCGCATCACCAAGTCAATTGACTTATGAGGTTAATTACAATACTGATGTGCAACTCGATTCGTCTGAAGATGTATTACACTCTATACCCCATTTTGCTCTGGCATTGACTCAATTGATTCATGACGACAAAATACATGAGATATCACTTGAATCTTCATAAACTTCAATTGACTTGCCTTAGAAACTTCCTTCTCATTCTAACCGTGTCAACCCAAAACTCAATATTTCCTGATCTTAAACCAAGGAAAAATATCCCATTAGTAACCAAGTCTACCCATAGATTGTCAAAGTTATATGCATCATATGTAAATAAGTTATCTGTTAT